TCCTCCCCTCCCCCAAAATCTGGCCAAGGACCCGTATGTCCCCGAGCGCCGCCTGACCGGGACAACCGCCCTGCCTCTCACTGGCCCACCTCTGCCGCGCCTCCCACGATGGTGTAAGGCCCGGTGCGCCCGCGGCTTCTGCATCCCGGATGAGTCACGGGGACAGCAGAGCTCGTAAGAGCTGGGAACGGCTGCCCCATTTCAGCACCCCGCTCAGAGGTGACGACCGACACCGCCACACACAGACACCCACGGCCAGGGGTCGATCCCTGGCAAAGGGGACCCGCACGGCAGGGAGGCTCTGCGAGGGGGGCGCACGGCACAGGCACGCCCCCGCGGACCCTGCTTGCTGGATGCGGAGCACGCCACTTGTTCAGCAATTTCACGCTCCGCCGCCTGGCAATGTGAGCGTGGAGGCCAATCCAAGGCGGCACTTCCCAAATGCCACTTGTTTGTGAACACACGGCTAAACCCAAAATTGCTCTCATGGTCTGGACAGTCCCCGTGGCCCGCTCTGCTTCGGCTCTGACAGCACCTGCAGGACGAGCCTGGCCCCCCGGCTTCCGGCTCAGTGGCACCTCCCGCCACCGCAGGAGGTCGCGGCCTACGGGGTCCTTGGATTCTCTGTGCCACAAGGCAAACAACAAAACCACACGCCCTGGATATTTAATTACTCCTCAGATCAAACAGGAAATTCTGACGTGCTCACGTCCCCCTTCTTGGCAGAGCTTAGGGGCTCCGCCTGCGATGATCCCCCCACGATTTCGAATTAAGTATAAAGAGCCCAACACTCTTAAATCCTGGGAGCCGCTCCCATCTTCCTCGCTACAAAGCCCATCTTCTCTTCTAAACTGGCGCTAAAACAGTAAAGATAGAGAAACAGATAATTAGAAAAGTAGGGTTTAGCTGATTCATCTAGACCAGCGCTGCCCAGAGAAATACGCACGAGCCACCTTTGTGACGTTACTGCCTCTAGATGCCATATTCAAAAACTAAAAAGAAACAGGTGACATTCACTTTGATGATATGTTTTGTATAACCCACGTCACGCAAAAGTATCAGTCTATAGAACCAGTATAAATAGATTTTTGGTGATATGTTGTCTGGTTCTGTTAACCGGAGTCTTGGACACTCACAGCTCATCTCCACTGAACTGGGCCAGATTTCAAGGCCATGACACTCTGACACTCCCAGGCGGCCAGCGGCGACTGTACCGATCATCCCAGCTTAGACCCCCTTTGTAAAGGTCTGAGGTCTAGAAACTGCTAGACAATTCGGAGTCTGGGCCCCAGGAGCTGCCCCTACATTCTGCCCTCACCAATGCCCTGACGCTGCCCTGACTGGGGACAGCTAAGCGATCCCTCGGAGGAACCCCAGGCTCAGACGTGGGAGAGGCTGGCAGGAAATACCGTTTTCACCCTGCAGCAGCCCCGGGAGGGGCCGCTCCTATTCCACGTGCCCGCAGGTGGCTGGGCCTGTGTCCGCTGTGGAGACAGGGCCGGAGGGTCTGAAACCCACGGGCCAGGCGAGTCCTGCCTGATGGGAAGCGCCTGTGGTCCTCAGACAGGCACCTACACCCAAAGTGACAATCCTGGAAGGCAGGCCCCTGGAACCGGCAGCTGGAAAGGGGCTGCTTCCTGCCTGCCCCCCGCAAGGTTCGCTCATCCCCCACTCGCTGGAGTTCACGAGCCCTGTGTGCATCCCGCTACCTTGACCTCCAGAAGGAGACAAGCGGGGGAGCAGTAGGCCTGACCCCCTGCACCCAGCTCTCGTGGGCTTGCCATTGAGGGCCACGAACCCTGTGAGCTGTCACTCAAACCTCGCAGACGGGTGCCAGGAGCTAAGGGGATTTGAGAACGAGTGCCCGGTTCACACGTCACATCTCCCAGCCAGGAATCGGCCGCAGAGAGTAGCAACAGGAAATTCCTGGGATGGTGAGGCAGCAGGCAGCCCTCAGGCCCAGAGCACCCAGGCTCTGCTAGCTACGTCAGGGTCCCACCAGGAGACAAGAGGGCCTGCCCAGGCCCCGGCTGCCGCCGTCCACGCGCACTGCCGCACGCCTCCCCCTTCCCGGTGAGGGGCGCTCTAGGGGCCAGAAACAGATCCCTCAAAGCCTTTCACAGGGTCTGAGGGCACTTACTTACCTGAGTAGCCACCTTGCCATAATCAATCCACCGCAGAGTGGCAAAGTTGGTCGACTCGGCACAGTTGAAGCCGTGGTTGAAGCCGGCGTGGTAGCCGTAGGGGAAGGTGATCATGAACTCTCCGGCCTCCTGTGTGATCTGAGGAGGCCAAGGCCGACAGGTGAGGGCGAGGCCCAGGGTCAGAAGAACGGGGAGTTCGTACACGGTTTGCCTCCTGGAAGCCACGCCTGGCCCGAGAAAGGGACAGGCTGGTGGCAAAGGCCACGGGGAGTCACCAGGGAGCACAGAAAGGGCATGTGGGCTCAGGAAGTTCCCAACGCGTGCCAGGGAGCCCCAACTTCAGGAGCCAGTGGAATCCGCCAAGTGACAGGCGGCTCTAACTGCACAGACTCCAGCCGATTTTCCACGTGGCTGATGAAGTAAGTAGGTGTGGTGGCAGCCACAACAGTTTGCTGCCAGCCCCTGCTCACTGCCGTCTGGCTAAGGACCCGAGGTGACAGACACGAGTCAGCACTCCTCGGGGGTGAACTGCGGGTAGGTACAGAGGACTGCTGAACGCTACCATTCCAGATGCTTCCTGTTTCGGGGACGGAGGGGCCCCCGCTTTGAGGAAAACGGCTGCGTCACACCACCAGCCACCCGCGACATTCCCGCACTAGCCTCCTCCCAGGATGGGGCGCGAATGCAGTGCAGCGTCCTGCCCTAGGATGACATGACCTAAATCCCCTCGCCATCATAAGCACAGAATCTGCCACTACTCCAGGAGGCTGGGCCCTCCGATGAGGTCCAGGAGACAGAAGCAGCACTCAGTGTGTGTGTGTGTGTGTGGGCGGCGGGGGGGTGGTGGTGGCATGATGTCCAAGACAGAGCGCTGTAGGGAGAGCTGCTCTGGGATCTAGTCAAACAGTCCGGACAACCAGACCTGACACAGAGACCCCGAACCAAGGAGCTGGGCATGAGTGACCGGGGTGGGGCCCACAAGGACCCAGACCGAGGCTTCTGGAACCGCAACCCCAAAGCCTGGAGGAGGAGGAGGTGGGGGCTGCAGCCTCATCCCCCCACCTAAGGAGGAGACGCTTGCACATGACCACACTGACCACCCTCCCCCGTGCTGCTGAGCCAGGCCCGGAGGAGACCGTTAACAACAGCGGGTACCGTTCCCACTGGCCGGGACGCCTAGGTGGGAGCTGAGGCTGCGGGCGTAGGAGTCACAACCTTTGCGGTCAGGTAGGCTGGTCTCTTCCTTGATGTGCCGTCAGCAGGAGGCACAGACCACAGGTGGTGGGTGGCCACCGCCCCGGACAGGAACAGACCTCCCGGCCTTTCACACTGCCGTGCGCCTGCCAGCACGATTACGTTTCTTCCCAGGGTTTCACGGCAGCAGGATCGGACGCTCTGCACCGCTCCATCCGGCCGCTTTGCTCGTCAACATTCACTGGTCCGCGTGCCATCAGGCCTCGGCTCCTTTTCATTCCCAAAGGGAATTCTGTCGTGTGGACACACCCCTGTCGTCCGTTCTCCCGTGCACAGGCTTCGGGGCTCGGGCGAACACGGCTGCTGGGAACACTCATGGGCCCCCACCCTGCCGCCGCGTTTGCGCTGGAGCAGACAGACGCAGAGGCGCCGCCGCAGGGTCTCAGGGTGGGGGCACCGGCTCATCTCCAAGACACCGCCCCACCTCTTCCGCAGTGGCTGCCCCTCTGCGCCCCACTGATTCCCTCTGCTCCCCTCGACGGGCATTTGGGGATGTCCAATTGTGTCCATGTCTGTGGGTGCGCGGTGGGATATCCTCGTGGCTTTGATGCCCTTTCTCTGAAGCCCACGGGCCGCCGCGTCACGTTGGCTTGTGCGTACGTCTCCACGTGCAGTGTCGGCTCCCGCCTTCGCCCCTCCCTGCTCATCACGCTGCTCATCTTTCCATCGTTGATTTGTGGGAGTTCTCAGGCATGCTGATCTTTACTTATTCCCCCAGAGATGAGCAGAAATCGCTGGATTCATTTAAGTACCAGCGAGACGTGAAACTCTGGCGGGGGGGGTGAGTGGGCGGCGGGAGACGGGAGAGTAAGACTTCCAGAAGCCAAGCAGAGTCAAAAATCAATCAAAACTGACGCAGCCTGGAGAAAGCCAGCCCTTAAGAACACTAAGACGGTTTTCTTTTCAAATAATAAATTGCACCAATCAAGGGAAGTCAGTGTGCATTAAGTCATATTTTTAAATTCCTGTCCAAGTGACAGCTACGTGCAGGGAATGAAGTGTGTGCCAGGAGACTGGGGAGAGCGCGCTCGAGTGTCCCCAGGCCCCGGCTCCCCTGTCCTCGGCAAGGGTCCTCTGGGCCAGCTTCTGCCACAGGACTCGGAGGGTTTGTTTTGTATTTTAATGTAATTACTGATTTCCTTATTCTATTTGAGCTGATCCTGGAAAGAGCCATCTCGCTTTTCCTCCACCGGTAACTCGCACACTCTGCTCTCTGCTGGGGCGCAGCCCTATGTAGCACTGGCTTGGAGCCTTCTGGGTGCACAGCAGGGTCCCAGGGATGCTGAGCCTGAGCCCCTGGGTGTGGCAGAGGCACCTCCACCCCGGGCTCAGGCAGACTGTGGGGCCTAATTCCCCCTGCCCGACCCCCACCATAAATCAAGGCCTGGAACAGAAAAAGCACTCAGGACGACAAGAAGATTATGTTCCTGTCAGAAAATCTACGTCCCAGTGGCTTCATTCTGAGCCCACAGTGTCTGTCCTCGATGTCACTGCCGTCAACATCATCCCAACAGTGAATTAGAAGGCACTAGGGATGATGGATAGGCTGGGCGGCAAAATAAGAAGGAGCGAAGGGAATGCCAGCCCCAATGCCAGTCACGGAGAAAGCCCGGAGTTGTTTTTTTGTGCAAGCTCGTGCAGAATAAACGAGCAAGTCAATGGCAGTTTCCAGAAATACACTCTTTTAATTACTAAAAAGCTCTCTATTGATCTGCTTTTCCTAAGAGGTAAATACCATTATAGAGACTTATACGTGGGGTGTGGAAGTCGCTCCTTCGAAGGCTACCAGGAATTCGGATCAGGGATCCACGTCAAACTGTGACGAGGCGTCCGTCAGAGCCTGAAGACAAGGGCCTTCGCCCTACTGGCCTCAGGAAGGAAAGGGGGCTGCCAGCCAGCTCCTGCGACCCGCGTCCCTGTCCAGGAAGCACCACGTTGGAGAACATTCTGGACAAACCGCAGGGGAGCAAGTACTTCTCACTTCCATGAGCAACGCCATGGTCTGCCCATGAAGCTCCTGAGGAAGGGCGTTCGCTGCAGACGGCAGAAGGCGAACAGGGGGCGCAGGAACCTGCATCTCTGCTGCTGCACGAGTGGTGGCTGGGAGTCACTTTGCCCCTGACAGAGATGACGAGTCCCTGATGCACGCACGAATGCTGCAGGTGGTGTGACTGAACCGTCAGGAGCAATTTCCGACTGGCCGACACTCAACACTCGGTGAGAGCGAGGCGCCAGGGTCTGATGGTGAACTTGCTGCTGTGCCTGACGAATGGCTCCCCTGTCTGAGGAAGGGCGTTCGCTGCAGACGGCAGAAGGCCATGGGACACCTCCACAAACCAAGCTCCCAAGAGTCTGCTCAGACCTGTCCAGAGGTTCTGGTGTGCCTGTCGCGTGGGCTGACGTGGAGAGGCCTAGATGTTCTTGCCCAGAAGGCTCGTCCGTGGGGAAGGAATCGCCTGGAGCAGATAACTGCTGAGTGCGACCCACGGCAGAGCCATCTCCAGACCCAGGCGCCTGCGAGCCCCCCGGGGGCCTCGGTCCTGTGGTCTGGCCCAGGGGCTCCTGCAGTCTGCCCGCCCTCTGCAACCGCATCCCCCGGCTTCAGGCCTCGTGCGTCACAGCCCTTTGATTCTGTAGCTGTAGGGTGAGTGAGTTCAGAGTCTTGTAGACGGGCATTCACTGTCTCAAAGGACGCCCGCCGGGTGTGGGCAGGTCCAGGGAGCAAGGGCACGGGGTGGTGGGGTGTTGGCGGGGGGGTGGTGCGTGCAGGGGAAACCGGTGCCCTGCGGAGGGGAAGAGGGCCTGCCCAGGGCCCTGAGGTCCTCCACAGCTGGCCCTGCACTCTGCTGCCCAAGCCCGCAGACCCTGTGGAGGGGCAGCCCACCGGCCGCACCCAGCCGAGGTTGGGGTTGGATTCGGGTCTGGGAGGGAGCAGGAGGGCAAGTCAAGGCCCCGCCCAGCTCTGCCTCTCCCAGCCTCACCCCCCACGAGGAAGAGCTGGACACTGACTGCCCGGCCGACATGGCCCTCCCCGGGCTTGCCTTTGTTCCAGACCCTTTTCTAGAGTTAAGAAGCCAGTTTCCTGGACGTCTGCGGCCCCAGCAGCCCCTTCCGGGGCAGCCCCTACGTACCCGGCTGAATGGGATGCCGTACTTCTTGAGGATGATGGGCGAGATGAGGGTCATCTTGTGCCTCAGGAAGGCGTCACAGCCCTGGGAGCTCCCGGGGAAGAACCCTGAAGCAGAGAAGTTGGGGGGTCAGTCTGCGGCCGGGCGGGGTCAGGCCAACGCTCTCTGGGCGGCTCCTTCCCCTGTCGGAGCACAGAGCACAGCACCAAGGGAACCAAACACATGGACCCCGTCACGCAGCCCCACGTGCTCCGCTGGTGGCAGGCGGTGGTGACGCTCTGGCCTTGGCTTAGTGAACCCGGAGCAGAGAAGGTGCCGGGGCTGTCCGTGTGAGAGGGCACACGCCCCCGATCGCAGATGGGGCAGGGCGTGGGTGCGCAGGCACGTCCCCTCCAGCCCCGCCAAAGACCCGCCGGGTTGCAGCCACGTGGTCACTGAGCCACGTGAGAGCACAGTCAGGGCAACAGGACACAGGAGCTGGTGCTCTAGAAGCAGCCGAGCTGTGATCGGCGGGGAGTGGTGCCCCGTCCGCGCACACACACACGACCAAGTCTGCGACAAGGCTCTTTGCACGCTCCGTCCCCACGGCCCCCAGGCAGGTGAGGAGAGAGAGGCTCGGGCCATTGGCTGACCCGCCCTTGGGCCCTAGTCCTTCAGGGAAGAGCAGAGCGGTCCGCCCGGGCTCGTCCACAGCTCCGGCCCTAAGCCTCGGTCACAGAGTCCGCGTTCGGGGATGCTTCCTGCCCTAGACTGTACAGCACGGAGCTCGTTTAAGTAACACTGGTGAACACGGGCTCGTCAGCGCTACCTGCTCAGAAAGCTCGTTTAACAAACACAGTTTGGGGACGTTTCCGGACCACGTGCTGGCTGAAGCTCCAATCAGCGACACGTCTCGTGGATAAAGAAAAGCAGGCTCTGGAACTCCACCCGCAGCAGCTGGGCTTCTCATCCCATCGGCGGGAGGGGGCAAAGACGGGCTGCCACGGGCACTCGGGGAGGATGTGGTGTGGCATCTGCCTCTGAGTGTCCACTGCCCTCCACAGCCGGCCTGGGGACCCTTTTGGAAGCGACCCAGACTTCAATGGGCACATTCACGTGTGTGCAAGCACACGGTCCCACACATACCCCGATGTGGGGGGCGGTGGGGTTCGACGCCTTCTGTGCTGGCAGACAGCGCCTGGCTCCAGACAATGGCAGGGGACTGGATCCTGCGGCTGCGTGCGGCACTGAGACATTCCTATGGGCTTTACGGCCGTCGGCCTCCCCGCGGCTCCTCGGCGTGTTTAAGTGGCTCCCGGCAGTGCCCAGGCAGGTGCACACCGAGGGACCGGCACCAACGATGGCGACTCACCTGAGCTCTCGCCACGGCCGTGGCCCACCCCGCCCCGCGAGCCCATGTGAACGCAGCGGTCACCTTCCACGTTAATCGCAAACTCGTTCCACTGTCTCAAAAACAGAGTCGGTGACACGTGACCTCCGTGTGCCCTGCACCGTCCCCGGCCCCCTCCGAGGAGTGGAGGGCTCCCTGCAAGGCTTCCGACCTCCTCTGCTGCCAGGGCTCCTGGGCTCCAGCAGGGGTGACTCGATGAGCCCGTATGTGTCTAGAAGCAACGGCGGTGGCCTCCCGCCAACCGCAGGAGCTCTCCTACCAGCCGTCCAGGTCCCCGGGCGTCAGAAACAACACAGGCGGCAGGGCCCTGGCTGCAGGAACGGTGTGGGAAGCATGGCCGAGGTGTCGTCCAGGGGTGGCGGGTGGCCCCACAGCATCCTGTGTCCAGGTTCTCCAGCTGTTGCTCAGACCACCCAAACTTTTCCAGTAGGAAAGGCACACTGAGCCAGCACAGGCCAGCACGGCCCACTGCAGGATTCCAGAGACGTTGTCGGCAAGGGTCCGGCAGGGCCAGCCATGTGGTGGCCAGAGCATGCCCCGCAGTGGTTTCCCCACGGCTCTGGAGGTGTGGGAGGTCGCACAGCGACCACCCAAGGTGCTCCTCTCTTGGTCCCTGAATCTGTGATGATGCTCCCTCCTCTGGCAAGAGGGACTGTGCGGACAGGATTGAGTCAAGGCCCCTGAGATGGAGATGACCCTAAATTACCCAGTGTCCTTCACGGGGGTCCTCATGAGGAGGTGAGAGGCTCAGGGCCAGAGAGGTGGATGGGGCTGCGCTGCCGGCTGGGACGAGGGGGAAGGGGCCACGAGCCAGGGACGCAGTGCCTCTAGAAGCTGGAAAAGGCCAGAGACCCCTTTCCCTGGAGCCTCGGGAAGGCCCAGCCCTGCCTGTGCCTGGGTTCATCCCCCGAGGCCCGTGTGGGACCCCCGACCTCCGGGACTGTGAGAAAACGAATCCATGGCGTTTTTTTGTTGTTAAAACTGCTTTTAGAGCAGTTTAAGGTTGACAGCAAAATTGAGGGAATTTGTCATTTTAAGTCACTGAGTTTATGGTAACTTGTTATAATGACAAGAGAAAACTAATATGATGAGAAAAGACTTTTTAACTTATATTTTAAAATTAAAATTTGTATTTGAAACGTGTATTAAAAAAATACACGAGCACGTGGAACAGACCCTAACTAGGACTCCGTGTGACAGGGACTCCCCAGAGCGAGAGCGTGTTCCTGAGAGACGGGCTTGGCCCACCCACAAGGACAGGGTCCAGGTTTCCCACAGAAACGTCACCACGACACCCCCTGCATCTGTCCCCGCGCACCCCGACGAACCTCCCTCCATTCTTGGGGGACCAATGCCACTGATGTGAAGCTAAGACAGGAGGCCCCTATTTTTCCAGAAAGATCTACTCCCATCGCCAAAGCAAAACATCAACATGAGGGAGAAGAAAGCATGAGGCAGGGGTCCCGGTCGAGATATGGGGAGGGGCCCGAGGACGGTGGCCGGCAGTGAGGAGGCCCGCATCGATGCAGAGCAATGGCTTCCACAGGGTTCTGTGGCCGCCTCGGAAGGGCTGGACTGCTTGTCACGGCCTCCTAGACAGTCAGGACGACCAGATGGGCCCTGTGCTGTCCTGCGGGCTCCCAACTCTGGGGTCTTCGCCCTGCTGCCCACCCCCACCTGGGTGCTGCCTGCGAAGGAGGGGTTGGCTTTCAAACTGACAGAGTGAGGTCCAGAACGCTGGGATGCCGTGACAGGGAGTGATGGGACACATGCCACCGGTCCCTCCCTCGGGGTGGTCGGGGGCCTCAGCGCCACTCCAGGGATCCCTTGCCCCAGGCCCCGCCTTCACTTCAAGTCCGTGCCCCTCTCCGGACGCAGCCTGGGCCCCTCTGACAAAGCCGCGAGGCAGGCCCGGGGAGGGTCTGAATGCGGGCGGTGGGACCGTGGCCGCTGGGAGGGACACTTGCTGAGGGAGCCCAGGCGAGTCACAGCTCCGCACGCAGGGCCTGCAGCCACCCAGGAGCGCTGAAGCCCAGGTGAGGTCGCCCCCACAATGAACAAAGACCAGAGAGGACTTGGGACAGGGCGCGTTGACACGGCTGTCCTCCCTGGCCCGCGGAGTCTGCAGGCGCCACCGAGGACTCCGAGCTAAGAAACCAACACCAAACACGTCTGAAGTAACGGCATGCTGTGCAGAACCCACGAAGTGACAACCCCCTGGCAGAGGGACCGCGGTCCTGATCACGTGAGAGCATGCCAGGGAACGGGAAAACAAGACAGCGACGGCTTGAAGCATGTTGCCGCTCCCCAAATCGGAACCCGCATGCCCAGCAAACCTGGGAGGGACGACGGCGGCCTCCCCGCCCGGCCCGGCCCATCTCCCAGGCCCCGGCCCGGCCTGCCCCAACCCGCACCGCAGCCACAGACACCTACCTATTGCCAGCCGCTCCAAGCGCTTGCCATGCTCCGGTGGGATGGCGTACCTACGAGAGAAGGGAGGCACGTCAGAGGCGCGGTCGTGTGGCAGCCACACCTCAGAGTCCCCAGGGAGACATGGCTCGTGCACAGAGCAAGCGACTGCAGCTGTGGTCAGGGCTGTGCGGCACGCGGGCAGCGGCGAGGGGCTGTCAGGGGAAGAGCCCACGCAGAAGGCGGTGGCGAGGTGAGAAGGCTGAGGACGGGGCCCAGGTGGGTCGTGATGGAACTCTCAGGGCGGCAGGGGTGGGGACACTGCCTGTTAAGTGGCACTAAACCTCGATGAGGCTTAAAAACCAACAAGTAAAATAAAAGCACTAGACCGGAGCCGCAGGGTGGGGATCCCGGCCGCCCCACGTCGTCAGCCCCGCGTCGTCAGCCCGTCCCCCGGCCCCAAAAGCTGATGGGGAAAGAAGCTTCAGGAAAGAGAAAAATATCATCTGTTATCCACTTCATAAGTTTTATTTTTACACGTCTTACATGTGAAAGATTACGAGGCTGTCATAAATAAAAAAGACGTAAAGGGGGAGTTTGCAAACAGATGAAGCGAGGGTGCTATCCCGCCGATGCTGTGCAGGGAAGCTGGTGGAGCGGGGAGCCCGGGGCGAGGGGTGCAGGGGAGCCCCCACCCAACGGACATGCCACCCCCGTGCAGCCCAGGGGACTCGGCAGGATCAAAACCTCAATTTTCAAGCAAAGGCAGGCAGAACTGGGGTGCAGGTCCCTAACGACTCAAAGCGCCGAGCAGGGGCCAAAGGAAGGGGTAGAGGTTCGTCACCATGGCGACGCGACCCCAGGAGAAACTCCAGGACAGCGTCTCAACCTGGGGAACCGCCTGCGCCCAGGGGACACGGGGAGATGTCCGGGGACATCTGTGGCTGTCACAGCTGGCGGCGCTCCTGGCATCATGTGGGCGGGGCCAGGGATGCTGCTCAGCCCCCCTAGTGCCCAGGACAGCCTCCCACAGAGGGCAATCAGCACCTAAGTGTGAGCAGTGCCGAGGGGAGAGACCCTATTCCAGAATAAAGACGGTCCACATCTCGCACTCTAGAATGAGTCAGGTGTGAGGTGCAATCACTGCCTCCTCCGCCCCTCAGGTACAGGTAGAGATGGGGCCCACACAGAACAGGGAAGCCGGCCCAGACCCTGTGGCCGGTTAAGTCCATTTCAACCGAGAGGTTCACTATCACTTCTTAATAAAATAAAAGGGGACGGGGTAGGAGGTAAGTTGAGCACGTGTTGTCGGTAATCTAACAGAACAAAAACAATTAATTTCTGGGCGCACCCTGGGACACTTAAGGAGACCTTCGATTCTGAGGTTCTCTGCCGGCATCAGAGAATTTTCCATCGTCTGGACGAGGATGAGGCTACTCTTCTTTCGAATGGCCTTTTATCGCTTACACAGAGATGATAAAAGTCAACCCCAATCCAAAGCACCTTTGTGGGATTACTGGCCCCCGAGCGAGGGAAGGAAACGTCCCGTTCCTTCTGGGAGGACGCGGCCCAGGCCGTGATGATTAATGCAACATCCTCTGTCTACAGTGGCGCTTGCACTTAATTACCGCCTGTAATTGGGAGTTGTAAAGATAAGATTAATTGCATCTGGTGGATGTTAAAAGTTTAATACGTTGGAACGTGGCTCCTCTGTTATCGGGAAGTACACACGGCAGGGCGCTGGGCTGAGCGTTTGCGAGAGCAGCCCCTGGGGAGATGAGAAAGGACTCGAGGACAGGACGCCAGAGCCACGGGAACTTCTGGGCTCCAGTGTCCCAGAGCGAGCAGTGCCGCCCACTGCTCAGAGTGACCCAGTGACAGCCTCGAGAGTGCCAAGAAACCCCGCCACCAATGACGCTGCCAACGACGTGCCACGCCAGCCCGAGCCCTGGGGACTCGGCGCGATGAGAACCTCAGTTTCAAGGGAAGGTGTGCAGACCGGGGTGTGCGTCCTTGAGGGTCCAGGGCGCGGAACCGCGCCAGCCAAAGGCGGGGCAGCACAGGCTTGCTCTCTACAGCCATCAGAGCACGCCCGAGTCCCGCCCGCCTGCTACCGCCAAGAGACTCTGGCGCTGTGGGCTGCAGGTGCCCGCTGGGCCCTCTCTCCCACCACGGCCCTTGGGGTGCCCCGGAAAGCCAGCTACAGAGCTGGCCTCCCGACAGGGACTGACATTCACCAGCAGAGAGAAGGCCCCGAGGAGCTCAGAGCACGGTACCCTTGTGACAGTCCACCCAGTGTCATGCCACCGGGCTGGGGCATCCCCGACTCTCAGGCTTGGCTCTCGGAGAAGGAAAACGGGAAAGGAAAGAAGGGGAAGCAGCTATTCGAGCTGAGCGTGTCTGCTCGCTAACCCTCAAGGCAGGCAGCATCTGTCTGGATGTCAGCGAGCAACTTCTCGGGGCAGTAACACAGTCGGTTCTTGGTCACCAACAAGGGGGAAGTCTGGCTCACAACCCAGGAGATCCGTCTCCATCACAAGGACACACATGGTCAAATCAATCCGCTTTGCCCACCTGTGACCCCAGGCAGCCTCTCTCTGGGCTGGGCAGCTTTGGTCACTGGGAGACAGAGGGTTCTTTCATGGTTTCCTCGGACAGGCGGCCTCCGGGTGCCCCAGCCTGGCCTCTCAGAATGGGGCTGGGGCAAAGCCCGCTGGCCCGCCCTCTCCTCCAGCTCCGCCCCCCACACCGCCCAGAGCCTCCCCGGCTCCCCCAGCCCGCTCTCCGCCAGCCTGAGTGTTCATCTCCAGCAAGGTCCATGTCCCCACTCCAGACAGCCGCAGTCAACATGCTCCCCTCCTAGGACCGGGCAGCATCTGGTGGGCCCTCCTGGGTGGTCAGCTCACCCCAGGCCAGTGGCAGGACATGCAGGGACTACAGCCTGGCACACAAGTCACATTGGAAGAATCTAGAGACATTGGGAGAAAGGAGCAGGGCAAAGTGGAAGGGGAACAGAGCAGAGGGTTCCAGAAGCCGAGAAAGAAGAGGGGGAGGCTGCGAGGGAGACGGGTTGCCGGTGTAAGGTCACCCAGCCTCCCCTGGCCAAAGCCCCCAGCCTTGCCCGTGGGAGTCTGGACCTAGGTCAGTGGCCTAGGTCAGTTACAGAGGGCGCCTCCCAGGGGGACATGCTGGCCACCACATGGGACACCCGATAAGTCTAGCCCTGAGGTTAGCTAGTCTGGAGTCGCCCCTCTGGAACTTTTTCCAGAAGCATCTGCCATTCACCAGCATCTTTATCTCTATATTTAAAAATCCTCCTCACTTTCTCTCTGCTTGAAGGTTTTACAAAGCATTTCAGGACGACTCTAAACCGGGAAGGCACAGAGAATTCGGTCTTAGCTCCAGCGGATGCGGTAAGCCTAGCAACCGGTTCAGGTGACCCTGCAGAGGCCGCAGCCAGGCTCGACAGGCTCCGTCGTGGGTTCAACGTCGTGGAGCTGCCCAGGAGGCTGGGGGAGACGGCCCCGGGCATCGCGGCCCAGGCGCCCTTGTCGGAAAGGCAGCTGTCTGCAAACATCAGGGCTTCAGTGGGGAAATAACTCATTTTCCGAGCAGATGTAAGGCTCAGGCTCACGAGGTGCAACAAGACGGGACAGGAGCCCTGGGAACTGCGCCCCCAACGGACCTGAGATGTGTGAAAAGCCACCTGATGTTTAAGAGACGACTACAGTCCAGCAGTTACACCGGGCAAAGGCCCGACCCACGGGAGCGAGTCACGCGGGCAGCAGGACCCTGCGCTAGGCCGGCCCCAGGGAGATGGTGTCCCCAGCCTCCTGCGCCTCCAGGCTCCTCCTTCCTCTACACTTTGGGTATTTGGGATAGTGAATGCACCCCCTCCAATCATGGCCACCTGCAAAAGGCACAGCTGACACCCGTGAGTCCGCCCACAGGGAGAGTGGCGAGTGATGATGTTTGAGAGCTCCAGCATGTCACACAGCAGGAGTCTGACCCGTCTACCAGACGGTCAGGGACATACTGGAGAGACTGGACACTGGAGAGGAGCGCAGTTCGGCCCCGGGTTCCTGTTTTAACACGGAGGCCAGAGGCTGGACTGTCTCGGGAGGCCCTGCTGAGGCCAGGCCTGAACCCAGGCTGGCAGCTTAGGGACCCCTCGGGGCTCCAGACAGGGGGTTTCCACCTGCACGGGTCACAACAGACTCTATGGGACCAATAAAAAAGCTCCAGGGCTGTGACACCAGGCAGGTCATGGGTGCCGAGTGGGTGGCAGCCTCAGCCCGGAGGCCAGGTGGCTCTTGATGAAGCCAGGAGATGAAAAGGAAACGTGTCCTCTGCAGGCAGGCCGCCCGCCTCGGCCAGGGCACAGGCCGCTTCCATTTTGCCGACGCCCCGGGGGAAGTCTCCTGTCCTTTCCGGAAGATGCTATTAATAGTGTCATCTTCTCGGTGTTTTGTTTATTCCCCTGGAATGGCTTGATGGATGTGAATAATTATCAGACTATAAAAGCCAGCAAATGTGCTACTTTCTATCGCTCTAAATCATCAAACAAATAAAGTGTGAAACAGCAATTTTGAATATAATTTTCCCCTCTAATGGCTTAGAATTATTATCAAGAACAATGAAAATAAATAAGCAAATGCCTTGTGAGTTAAAAATTAAATGCATGTGTCAGGGAGAGGGACGCAGAGCGTCTTGGAGAGCAGAGACCTGCTTGGGAGCCATTAGTTACAAGGACATGCGACAGGGCGTCGGGCCACACAGACACCTGGAGGGCTTCTCAGCTTGGACTGGCCCATCCCCCGTCCCCACTTCCCTGGGGGGCGGGCCACCCTGGGGCACGTGCACCATGGTACCTATGAGCCTGGCTGACCCCCCGCAGCCCTGGGGTCCTGTCTGCCACTGCCAGAAGACAGCTACACGAGACCCCAGAAAGCCAGGTGGGTGGGGGTCCCAGACCATGGGGCTGCTCACCTCTCGGACCAGCGAGCGAACCCATCATGGGCAAACCCTCGGGACAGGTCGTGAGACTCCAGTGAAGGGACCCCCACGCGCCCTG